CCCCAAAACCCCAAAACCCCAAAACCCCAAAACCCCAAAACCCCAAAACCCCGGGAAGTGGGAATTTAGTTGAAATTTATAAGGGGGTTTGGAAGTTTTGGGGTGGGGAAGAGGGGGTTAGTGATGGATGGTGGCAAGAGAGTGGTAGTTGGTCTTTCCGAAGCCATTAGAGATCTGGTAGTGAGTCTTTCCGAATGTCTCTTTTAGAGCAATAATGGTAATAAAGAAACTCATCATACAAATTCCTCCAAAAATAAAGAAGAATATAGCATTTGATTCATGAAACCAGATTGCAAAGTTCGCCATATCTGCCAATCTAAAGGCCATGCTTGGTAGGATAATCACTACAGCATTGAAGAACCAATGAGTAGCTGTAGCTATTGCCATTCCTTTATCTGTTAATATTTCTCCTCAATATACATAAAGAGTAGCTCCCTTGGTTACCCAAAAATTTGTTGCAAAAATTAGCACAAAGACAGTGGATAAGATATTTGGGAACCCGTTAAACATGGGAACTCCAAAGTTTGTGTAGTTCACTTCTAAAGATGTCTGGAATAGCACTGTTAATCATAATCAGCTGATGAGAGAGCCAGTGAGTAGAAGTGTCCTTCTTTTTCAATATGTCAGCAATAGCATTGAAGCAGGGATTAGCACAATGCTGAGAATTGTTATCATTAACCTTAAGTTTCCATGAGTTGAGTTTGGATTTATTCTGAGAGTAAATGCAAAGTTAAGAACAATGGCGATACCTGATAGCTGAGCTATTAATCTCACTGTAACACCGGCCATTAATTTTCTCTTTCCTCTTCTCCTACAAAGAGCGCTCCAGGTATCTTTTTCAAGTTTAGTTGGAGGCTTACTCTGAGCCTGTTGGATATTTGTGCTGAATTCTCCCTCCAGAGCAGATTCTTCTACTTCAAAATCTCCACTGGTATCATAAGAATCTGATTTAGAGATAAGGTATTCCTCATATATCGGATTTTCTTTTTTGAAGATGAACAAGAGGCAGAGTAGCTTTATTGTAGCAAAAATAATTGGAACCATGAAAATCTCCCTCCATATGATATGCTTGCCTACAAGAGGGCCGCAATAATCAGGGACTATAGAAAATGGTCTTATAAACACAGGAAGAGCAAAATTAAGCAATATGGGGATAAGTAGTCCTATGTTTATCCATAATGTTACGAATGAAATTAAGATGCCTCTCATCTTAGGAGGAGAAAGTTCCATTATAAACATAGGAGCGATGGCGTTTGATATACCAAAAGAAAGACCCATAATTGCTCTCCCAAGTATATAAGTCTGGTAAGCTCTAGTCATTTGAATGGAGGCTCCTATAATTGTGAGGATCGATTGTATTATCAAAGCTTTCTTTTTCCCATATCTTGCTAATATCCAAGAGATCCCTCCACCAAGACATGCTCATAGTGGGACTATAATATTTCTGTTAAAATGTAACCAAGAAATTCAAACTTTCCTTTAAAATTTTTAGAAATTTTTTAAAATATCGTATTTTGATGAAAACTCTTTATAAATATCAAACTCATGAGTTACAATAATTGGCAAGTGAAAAGTATCACGATTTAGATATTGAGAATATGAAGTGAGGCTTACAGACAATACTTGCTCCAGTGTTGATCCATCTTCTTCTTACAGGATTGAACCCAAAAATTCAGGGGGTGAAGTCCCATAAGATATTGATCATATTGGTTGCATATCCAAATTCAAAGTTGCCCATGGCAATAATGAATCACCATGTGATCAGATAACTTTTGTTGTACATTTTTAATAATTCAATATGATTTATTTAGTGAGGGGTTTTGGGGTTTTGGGGTTTTGGGG